TTATAGAACAGCTGCATCAGCCCGTCGTCGTTGATGTTGCTGCGAAGTGCATCCTGCTTGAAGAGTGCAGCGTAGGCTGAGGCAGACTTGGTTTGTCGGAGATGGGTCAGGCGTTCCTGTGCGCGTCGAGCCTCATCCTTTTCTCCAAAGACTCTGGAGAGTGCCTCGGTGAAGTCGGCATAGGAGTTCAAGACCTTTTTGGTGAAGTCCGTGGCTTGGTCTCCATTTTCGTAGTAGTCTTTGAGAATGGGCTCGAACCAAGTGAGAGCTTTGTCCACGAGCCTAGTTCCTGCGTAGGTTACCTTCTCGAATTCAGAAGCAAACTGGTCCTCATAGAAGTGAAGGTAGGCCTGCATCTGGATCAAGAATCCTGCGAGGGCGGCCTGCTGGCCGTCGAACTCTCTGGGCGCGGACAACTTAACTCTCTTGCGTTCCTTGGGGGTGCCTTCTCCTGCCTTCGCTCTGGGGGCGCCGGATCCAGCCTGGAGCTGCGCCTCCAGCTGGTTGATGCGGTCCTGCATGACCTTGAGCTGTCGGTTCAGGGCAGTGGCGTTCAGGGGTTCACCCTGAGTGGAGGTACCGGCGGAGGAAGACATGATGAAGTGAAGATACCTTCAGTACACTATCCGAGATAGGCCAAAGGGAGTAGTCAACGTGTGACGAACGGCAGTCTGATCTGCCTAAGTGGGATAGTTTGAAGGTAAAGACTATCAGTGCTGTTCGGTGAAGCCAAAGGGTTCACAACAAGTATGTGCGTGGTACTGGTCTCAATGAACAATTGTGGTAACTGTGATCTGTTGACTACTGTCGAACTATCTGACAATCTGAGTTCTCCCGTAGTCCCTTTATACCTGCTCGCCCTCTGCGAGATATCTGTCTCCGGATGCTCTTGTCGAGCCCCATAGGTCTATCTACGGTGTGCCTGCGCGCAGTGGTTGAGGTGATCAGTTCTGATCACCTTGAGCAGCTGCGCGCCCTGTCTTGACTAACTGCCTGATCAGTGAACCATCCTGGTAGGACTGATCAGCCTTCCCTGTCTGTGCATCCTGGGTCACGGTTACACTGCCCAGCCTTCTGTGGCTGGTCCCGCCCCGGCGACCTGGTTGGCCCGTGTTCCTCATAAGTTCGTGACATAGATACCCGTGACTAAGCACGTGTAAAAAATCTCTTCCTTGAGCTTAGTAATATTAGTTACGGTATTATTAAGCTAACCAATAAAGGTTCTCGAAATTGGAACCTTAATAAATCTAATTGACCAATCGCTATCTCTTTCACCAAAAATTCTTGGGCTCACAACATCTTACAGGCAGCCGGCCGGCTAATCGGCGAAGAAATCTAATACCACAAGTAAGACCCCTCTTCCTCCACCTCTGAACCCTAAAGATAAGATGAAAGAAGAATCACCTAGCGCATACTCGAGGCAACCGAAGTGAAGATGGAGGGGGGGGGGGGAGCGCGGAGTCTCAGTATACCAGCCAATCAGAAGTAACGAAGTTCACTAGGACAAAAGGAGATAACAATAAGAACGGACGACAAACATCAAAGCAACCACCGCTCCCCTGGCTCCTATGGTGAGACGAGATGAAAGTTCGGATTTGGGGTTACGGTTTGAAATAAAGAAGCTTAGGATTTTCATCCAGTATTCAACAACACGGTTTTTCCCTTGGACTAAGAAAGGAAGCAGCACCGCTTACTCATTAGGTAGACTATTGTGACGGCTGGCACCATCTGGGCTGTCACATGCCTGCCATCAAGGCTCCCATTCACATAGGTGCTGTTCAATCGGGTCATCCCATTCACGCGTTTGGCTGTCACTGGTTGTCGCCTGTGGTCTGGGTATAAAACCCAGCTCTGGCGGCATCGAGCGTTCTCTTTTGGGATTTCTTCCCTCTTCAGCTTCTTATTCTTAGTCCAAGATAATTAAATCGTACACAACGTGCCCTCTAGGTACGCTGTGACAACTATATAGATAGTTTAGTATGATAAGATAATATATATATTATATTAACCAAGCGTTATTTAATTATTCATTGCTTTGTAGTAATTAGAAGAATTACTTAAGAAATATCATTAGAATATAAATTATATAAAAATAAGAAAATAAATAAAGAGTCGGAATATATTAAAACGCTGAAGTATATAGAAAATTCAATACAGCTTTTAAAGAAAAGAGGATATTATTTAGAATATAGGAAAGGAGGTGAAGAAGGAGATAAAAGAGGAAGTAAAAGAGAAGGTAAAAAAGAGAATAAAGTAAAATATAAGTAATAATATACGGAGAAATGATTTATTTATATAAATAGAAGTATTAATAATCTTTGCTAATCTATTTATACTTTGTAAGAAAACTTACTAGCATAATTATTTTATAACCCGGGCGTAGCTAATTCTAAATTAATTTATAGCTTTAAATACCATAATATACTACTTCTTATGAATTTAATTAATATACATAAGGTAAGAATTAGTATTATTTCTCATTTTTTTCTTTTGAATTAATTTTTGTGACGGCGCGGCTCAACTGCTGGTCAGCATTGCTCCTATGGCTGCATGGTTCTTGACAGTGCATAGTACATTCTTTACGCCGCAGCCATCTTTTGTATTTTAGTTCTTCTTTTTCCTCATCTTTCAATCTTCATTCAATAATAAGGTCTTTGTCGCTTTGTCACATTCCTTCCCTCTATTCGCCGTGACAATTTTTGCTATTATATAAACGATTTGGAATAATAATTAAATTTTAAAAATATAAATCCATAATCCATTACTATATTTTTTTTCAAAAACGTTAAATAAATCCTGAAACTTTTATATGAATACAAATCTTATAATTATTAAATTGAGTTATATTGAAAGCAAGAATAATATAGTTTTAATACTCTTATAACCAATTTAAACTCATATCAGATATCTCCTTTCTGTAAAAGATTCTTAAACTTATATAATTTTAATTTTAATGTTTTTAATTCTTCTAAGTAGAAACTTTTTATATATATAATTTTATTTAGCTATATATATGTTTTTCATAAGAAACTGTTAAACGCTTTTCAAATTGCGTGTTCTCTTTTTATAAAGAAATAAAATATAGAGAAATGAATAGAATTTGGAATCTTTTTATAGGAAAAGAATAGATAATTTGAAAAGTTTTTAACGTTTTTCTATGAAGAAAGAATAAAGACTACGAAAATTAGTTACGTTTAATATAGTAGTTAATAACGTTATTTAGACCAAAACTACTCCAATAAAATACTTCTGACTAGTAATATAATAATAAAAATATATTACTATATTTATATTCAATAAGTTGTTTAAATCTTATATACTTATATTAAATATCGCTGGCCCGTACTAGTGTACTAAGATTTGGGGATTTATAAGTCGAGTAATAATAAATACTACTAGGAAGCCAGCTGGCGTAAATAATAGTGATACTAATAGTCTTATATATTTTATAAATTTTGAACGATACTTCAAGATTTTAAAGCATCATATTAGTAAACGTATAGTATTTTTACTTGGAAAATATGAATTAATTAATGATATATTGATAAATGAAATATAGTAGTATTAGATTTGTATAGTTTAAATATTGTGATAGCAGCCTTGCAGTTGTGCCTTTCAACTGCTATCACAATTACATAAGACCACTTGAGCAACCGAATTACCAGCTTTGGTTACTTGTATCCTTTTGGAACATAGCCCAGTAATGTAGTAGTCTGCCAGCGCCGTGACAAATATAAAATTATGTATAAAAATGATTAAAAAGGGGGAAATACTTAAAAGTAAATTAAATACTTTTATATAATGTATTTTCCTTGTATCTATACTCCTGCTACTTATCATTAATAGTCTAGTGTATATTATTACTATAATTGAGCTAAGGTGCCTTGCAAAGAAGAATAGTTTAATAAATTTTGTATTTCAAATTTTTAATAAAAAAGAATTTATCATAAATTTTAAATACGGAACTTCAAAGTAGTAACTTATATAGAAAGCTACTAAATTAAATAATTATAATACTATTATACTTAGAACCTTAGCCGGTTCCTCATAATTAATATTATAGTTCTGTATATAGTTAGTAAATGGTGTATAACTTCTATAGAAATTTGAATTCAGCTCCGAATTCTTGTAATTAAGAATATTTTATATAGTTATTAAATAAATATATCCGTTATGATTAACTAACACTCATAGAAATATATAACTTTAGTGAAAACCTTGCGATTATGTATTTATATTAATATTCAGTAAGAGTAGTCGCTATATTTATACTAGACTTTTACATTTTTCATTCTATATATTCCTATATTTCTCTTTGTAATTTCTTATTTACTGATATTCATTTATTTAATTTTCCTTCATCGCCCCTCTTTTGTTCGACAAGTAATTAGCAGTTTATTTATAATATACTTCTAATTTATCCGATGCTTATTACTAATATAACTACTTCTATTACGCAAATATATAATTTTTGAATATATATATAGTATATTTATAAAGCGATTAGAGCTTTAATGTATTAAAAAAATGATTTTAAACGTTAGAAAATAATACTCCTTTTCATAATAAATACAGATATTAAGACTAAGATTATTCCAAAGCTTAATGTTAGTGGATTCCTTATGTATTTCATTTTCTACTAATTAATTAGAAGAAATATAATCAATTACCTTTAGTAAAGTTTTTAACAGTTAGAAAAAGCTTAATTGTAATATTAAATAAGATAGTATTCAATATTGTTATAATATAAATTATAATAATAATTACCCGTATCTAATAATTGACTATTAATCAATAAAATCTTCTAATATAGGCAAATCTCTTTTATGACTTATACTAATTTTAAACGATATTTATATATAATTTACAGTATTGTTAAGCAACGTATATTTAAATATTCTTTAAAGAATATTCAAATTGAGTTTTATAGAATTACCATTAATACATAGGTTGGTTCTAATTGTATAATATAGAGTTAATATATAGGTATAAAATTATATAAGAATCTTATAACTTATTCATCTTTTAATAATAATAAAATTTAGTTTCTTCAAAAATACTTCATAGTTACTTAATATGACAAGGCCTGTATTCAGGGCTTGGGACAGTAGTTCAATTCAGCTAATAAGCTACTTTGATCTCGAAGGCCTTGTTGATCCTTTTAACCTCCATGAGAAGGTCGGGCCTTAAGGCCTTCTTATATCAAAGAAGGTTGGTACGTACCGAGCCCTATGTGCCAGGCATCGGCGTGAGTCTATCTAGTTCATCTGCCTATAAGTAGATCTTCTAAATGCCAGCCTTCGTCCAGTTGCCCGTCGGTAATTCCGGTCGGTGGTTTAATTAATGAAAGTCGCCGGCGAATGTCCGTGTGACACTCAGTCTAATTAAATATAAAACAGTTAAAATTGACGATATATGTAATATAAATATAGAATTGACGTTTGATTTTATAAGTAAAAAGTAGTAAATTAGAATTAAAGGGGTATATTTCGAAATTTGAAGCAAATTAAGTGATAAATTAGTAATAGAAAGATATTAAAGAGTAATAAGAAAAAGAGGTAGTAGTAAAGCATGATAAAGAAGCGGCGGAGTAAGAGGTTGAATAGAAAGCGGCGGAGTAGAAAGCGACAAAATAAGAGAATAAATAAGAAGCGGTATAATAAAAAAATATCGAAAAGAATAAAATAAAGAGGAGTAAAATAAGAAAGCAGCGAAGTAGGAGAATAAATAAGAAGCGGCGGAATATAAGAATATCGAAAAGGGGTAAAATAAGGAGGAGTAAAATAAAAAAGAGTAAGAAG